ATCAGTATTTACTTCTGCTCATACGCACAGCCCTCCATATTCAAGACTCTAAAACTGCAATTTAATAAACTGAAGATCAAAAATATTTGGGAAAATACGCTTATTCTGATCATGAAGACTAACTTTTTTCCTATCATTATTCCCTACAAAATATTTACGGGCTGGAGAGACAGCTCAGAGGTTAAGAACACTGGCTGTTCATCCAAAGGTCCTGAGTTGAATTCCCGGCAACCACATGTGGCTCATAACCATCTTAGTGAGATCTGGTGCCCTCTTCTGGTGTGCAAACACACATGCAAACAGAATGCTAAGTAATAAATAAATGAATGTTTAAAAAAAAACCTATTTACACAGAGTTTGTATTTTGTTAGTTTGAGTACTCTGGGAGCTTAGAGGAGGCAGGAAGGATGGAGAAGATGGTTAATGGACACCAGAGTGCAATTACTTAGGAATAACTTCTGGGGCTAGGAAGATGGCTCTGTAAGGAAAGGCGAAGCCTAAAGACCTGAGTGCATTGAAACTCACATGGTAGAAGGAGGAAAACAACTCCGAAAGTTGTCCTCTAACCTCTGTACCCCTACCAACATACACATAGATAGATAGAAAGATAGATAGATAGATAGATAGATAGATAGATAGATAGATAGATAGACAGACAAATATCATTTAAAAGCTAGGTATGCATAAAAAAGGAAAGAGTAACTTCTAATATTTTGTATCACAGTAAAACATCTTTGGATGGGAATTAGTAACTAATTTTTCTAAATCAGCTAGTATAGAGAGCTATTTTGTGTTTTGCTTGGTTTGAGATGGGACTTCATGAGTCCAGGCTCACATCAAACTCTGAACCTTCTTTTCCCAGTCTCCAGAGTGCTGGCATTACCTCCCACGGGGTGTGCTACATGTACCCGCACACCCTGTGAGAGGGTTCTGAATAGTCACCAAAAATCATACATGCCCGAGGCAATAGATATGCTGATCACCCTGACTGATCATAAGACATTGTTTGTACTTACTGAAATATGTGTGATTACTATGTATTGATTAAACTAAAAATGCAATTTTAAAAATAATAAAGTATAAGATGTTTACAGGTTGTACACAAGTATCAAACTGTTCTCTCTCTCTCTCTCTCTCTCTCTCTCTCTCTCTCTCTCCATTTTTTCTTCTGGGACAACTTTTCAGTCTGTATCCCTGGCTAGATTGGAACTCACCAAGTGCCTCAGGCTGGGCTCAAATTTCCAGTATTCCTCCTGCCTCAGCCTCTTTGAGCACTAGGGTTCAGACATGAGGCACCAGGCTTGGTTCACTATGACATTTCAAATAAGGAGTTGGAGTAGCCACAGATTTTAGTAGCCAGAGGAGATCCTGAAACCTTTTTCCCGTGGACACTGAATCTTTCCACTGCCCTGTCTCCTACTTTCCCAGACTTAGGAGCTCATTTGTTCAATAGCTGCTCGTAGTGCAACTCCATGATAAAGGAACACCAGATTTCTGATTAGTTGATTTGCTCTCTCATTCCCTCTCTGAAGTATGCCACGGCACCTTCTTAATCTATTGATTAAGTTGCCTGATTTCTCACGCACTGTCTCCATACCTTCAGTACTTTTCTCCTCCTCTTCCAATGAAACGCCGGTTTCTGAAGCCTCGCAACTTTCTTCATCAGAGAAGCCTGTGGTTTCTTCATACTCGCATTCCTCTTCATCGTCACATACATAGCACTGCAGGCCATCGAAAGCCCCTTCCTCCACAGTGGTCTCGACATCTTCAGGGTACCCAACAGACTCTTGATATTCCCCTTCTCCTAAGTACAGAGAATCATCTGGCTCCTCGTATCTCTGTCCATCGTGTAAGTATGTGATACTTGCTGGAACTTCATACTCGGCTCTTTCGACAGAATGCGGCTCCGTGACTTGTGGGGAGCCACGACCCTCCTCCTTCTCCCCGGAATATACAGCCGGTTCCTTAGAGTTACTTTCCTCGTAGGTGAAAAACTCAGGCGTTGCTTCCTCTTCAGAGGTCGCTGCTGTCTCAGCCTTCTCCGCGGCATATTCCGAATCCAGGCTCACCCCCGCAGGCCGGGCTGCTTCCGTCCCCTGCTGTGGAGCTCCTGAGAAGAAAGCATTTCATTATTGTCTCTTGTTTTTCCAAAGTAGGAATTTTAAAGTGACTTAGTCTCACATCCTCAAGGCATTGCCCTTTCTTTCATTTTATTTCTTTTTTTCTTCCTTTCTTTCAGTTGTGTTGTCTAGGCTGGCCCAAACTCGAGTTGAAATATATTCATGCCTCAGCTTCCCCAACTAGCTGGGGTTACAGGAATGCACTCCGTCTCTCCCCTGTATTTCACTAGAAGATCGAATGCCTATTGTATTTAATCTAATTAGTGCACGGTAACAAATCCATTATCAGAACTTTCTTTCTTCCCGTGGGAGGAGGAGGAGGGACTCAAAACCACCGCTCCCTGTCATAACAGCTTCACGTGGTGAAGAAGTGAACGGAAATGTATTTGTTGTGAAGAGTGTTTAATTATACACTTGATGGGACTCACACTCAGATTTCTCTGGGCCACCGCTAAGGAAACCTGATCCCAGTAATTCCTAATGAATGGGCCAATTACCGGATTGGAATAGTGTAGTCCAGAAATAATCAGAGCTATTTTCTATGAGGTTTGTGAAGGTTGATTTTAATTGTCACCACAATGTAGAACCACCAGGGAAGAGAATCTCGAGTGAGGAGTTTTCCAGTGGCCTTTGAGCGTGACTATGAAGTATTGCTTCGAATTAACCCATGTGGGAAGACCCTCCCCAGCCACTGTGGTGGGGGGTAGTACAGGGCGGGGGTCCTGAATTGTACAAGAGACATCAGGCTGAGCACGAGTGAGCACGCACATGTGCATTCTTTTGTCTCTGCTGGTGACTGCAGAAGTGATGTGACTGTCGTTCTCAAGCCTCTGCCTCTGTGACTTCTCCCACAGCGATGAACTATGACCTGCAATTATAAACTACAATAACCCACGCACATTGCTTGTTGTCAGATTACAGTGACTGGAAAGGAAACTAGGGCAAGATTTGTCCCACATTAAGGATGATGAGCATATGTTGTTTTCATCTAAACCCTGCCTTTCTTCTATCATCCCTAAAATCGTCTTAGATTACTTTTAAAAAGTAGTGGGCCCTCTAGTGGGCATTTACTGGATTGCTAAACAGTACACTGTAATAGCCGCCCAGCCATGTCCTGAAGTTACTGCTACTATCTTTTGTAACATGTCATTTTTTAACATGCTATAAACTTGTATTAGTTCTTACTAGTCATACGATTCATTCTGACATTCTGACTGTCTCTGACTCTGTCTCTCTGTCTCTCTCACACACACACACACCGTACTTGGATTGTAGTCAGCCCATACTATCCTCTAATCGTTTCTCTCTCCTCCAGCCAGTCCTTCTATTCCCAACAGATGCTCTCTCCTACTTTCTTATCATATATAGAAATTAAGGTTCCACGCATGAGATTTAAAATGGAGACCAACAGAACATATTAAGTGACATAGAAGAACAAAATATAGGCAAAGGGTCATTTGAATCATGAAAGGAGATATAAAGCTCCTTTTTTAGCGGAAAAAAAAATGTTTTTTTATACAGTATTTTTTTTCTGAAAGGGATTAGGGTAGGGAAAAATATGGTCAAAACATATTGTTAAAAAAAGAAAACTACTTTTTCCCCAATTTGAACTCCATCATAGTTTTTTTTTTTTTTCATCTTTTTATGTGGATGCATGAATAAACATGTATTTGAAAGTGGAAAAATAAAACTCTAAGTGAAGTTGCATGACTTCAGAATGGCCATTCTAGCTGTATAGAAGCTCACTGCAATAAATAAAGTTTGGAACTGCACAAGTTTTTGAGGGGCTTCCTTAAACTAGCTGTGTTTGATTTGTGAACTATTAGAATAAATAGATGTTTTTAAGAAAGAAAAATAGGCATATTCTTTTTAAGACCTTGAAACATTTATTATCAATCAAATGAAGAAACTGCACTTTAGAAACAGCTGTTCTGCTAGCATTCTAATCACAGAGAACAGGAAGCTGCTGATTTCTTTACAATCTGGTCTATTTAAAATGGTTTTCCCTGTACTTTCAGAGTGGCTATCCAAAGGCACTTCGAGAGAACTTTGGGAATGTAAACATCTCCGAATTTACTTGCACTAAATGGGAAGCACTGGGTGGTGCCATTATGAAAAGTGTGCTTTTTCTAAATCCCAGTCAAAACAATAAACACCTGATGGTGGCTCAGAAACAGCTGGAACAGCTGGATCACTGATTAAGTCAACGCGGTCTCCTAAATCAATGGTGTCCGTTGTTACCTGCTTTTAAAATTACACACTTTCTGTTTCACATTTCAGTAAAAATCGCCTTAGGACGTGAACTCCAAGCAACAGGCAGCATTCTTCTTCTTATTTTCTAGAAAATCTGCTTTCTCCCCCTTTCCTTCAAAGTTTAAAAAAATCAGCTTACCGTACTTGAAGGCCAAGGTAGCAGCTAACTCAGGAAACGCATTAGACAAACACTTGAGAAAGCAACAACAGCTGTCCTCTCCCTTCTTCTGTACCAAAATTAACAGCTTCCGGCTTTTCTTCAGGGGATCTGTAATTTCCTCCAGAGTCTCATACTCTTCCTCAGAAATCAGTCTCCGAGAGGTTAGCGTGTCCAAGAAAGAATCGGGATCTTGTTGGAGGACATTAAGCAACTTTGTTCGTTGTCTTTCTATGATTTCTGAGGAAGTGCCCTCTGTAGCCATTGTTCCCTAAAAACCAGAAAATGGACTAAGTCGTTCTGCAATGTAAAAAAAATCTAAGTTAAAAAAGGAAAGAAAGACAGGAATTCGAGTTAGCAAAGATAAAACATGCCATGAATACCTTTCATTGCAGACGGCAGAGAGGAACAAACACAGGAAGGGAAGCCAGCCCGGAGCACTCTGTCCCCGTTTCCTGTTGCTGATCCTT